TGCATGCCGTGTGTGTGTGTGTGTGTGTGTGTGTGTGTGTGTGTGTGTCCAAGATCCCAAGAGGAGAATGGAGGAGAAGGGATTGCTGCATGGCCATCCCCCCCTGTGGGGTGATTTCTCTCTTTCTGTTTCTCAGTCTCTCTCTGTCTTTCTGGCAAGCACATACACCCTGTAGCAAAAATCTCTCAAAAAAAACTTGTGTTATGAAAACAAAATTTATGATATCATCATGTTTACATAATTGTATATGTTTACATATGTACACAGAGATATATCTAAAGATAGCCATAAGCTGGTTCATAGTGAAGAAGACAAATGGAATAAAACAAGAATAACAATATTTTTACTGTATTTAGTGCATGGAAATACAAATTCTAAAAAAAAATAAGAATTAATCATAAGTTGATGTTTTTGTAAAAATTTATTATGTTCAGATATTTTATGGATTATACAGCACAGTCTTGAATATTCTTAATGATATCTGATTTCATTCAAGAGTGTTCTTTTTTGATATTAACCAAAAGTTATTTTATAAATGAATAAAGAGAGGTAAATAAGTTTAATAAGTGTCAATAGTTTTCTTCATACTTCAGTACCTTTCTTTTGGATATATTGTTAAATGTCTCATCATTTTTGTTAATATTATGTATGAAATTTTGACATAATATTTAAACAGTTTGTTTAACTTATTCCTATGGCTTATGTATTTTTTCTACAAAGAAATCCCCAAAAACACCTGGAAAAATTGAGAAGTGAAGATAAGGCCTCTTCAATTCCTTTTTTTTTCGTTATACCTAGCAGCCATTAAATCATGGGCTTCATACCCTGAGTCAGATGCTTCTTCTTCCTATGGTTTCTAAGGGAAAAATCAGATTCTATTTATTATCATTTTTATTGATAGCACCATTTTTTGAGATTATAAATTTCTTGAGGTATATGGACTACCTATACCTACAATGGTATCATAGTATGACTTGGTTTTGAATGGTTCTATTCTGTTAAGTATTTAAGTGTTTTGACTTTTCTAAAGTCTTTTCAAAGATACAGGTTGGCCAGAGCAAATTGTAGAACTTCAGGATTTAACAAAGAAGTCATCTAATCTAAATGAGAAGCAATGGCAGAGGAAGTTAATGAGTGAGTTAATAACTTGGTTACTAGAGTACATTTTTCCTGATCAAAAGGAAATCATGGATACAGATTTTGGACAGTCAGAAGAAAACGAAGGGGGAGGGGAGTCTTTAATTTTTTTTTTTTTTTTTGAAACAAGAAGTAGAAATTAGACAAGAAGGAACTGAGAAGAAGGACATTCCAAACGGAGGTAAGTGACATTGCAAACTCCTAAAGTCTGATAGACAATAAGTGGCTGAGAGACTGGATCTGAATTAGTTGGAACTGAGACAGTGCCTGGGATAATGGCTTCCTAACCTTCAAACTCATTACCCTCTCATTGCACAGTACTAGCATGCTAGATAATACTCCCATCTGCACCATGACGGTTTGGAATAACTATGCCAACTACTGGAACTACTCTAATAAGGCTAGAAAATGGAAGGGACAGTAGTTCCAGGAAAACCACTGCTGCTTTCCCTGGTATTTCATGAATCAACCACCCTTACTTAGCCTGGGATTAACCCACATCATATAAATTGGACACCCACCAAACTTCTGGGCTGCCCAGCCTAGTTTTTCTTCTGGGTAACCATTCTCCCCTTCCTCTCAGAGAAAGGAATGAAACTGTTGATACATCTCCAAATGGGGCTGCTCCAACTATAGAGTGGTCTGCTCTGTACACTTTCCTGAATGAACTTGTGCAGAGACCTACTAGGCAAAATGGGGGGAAGACTCCCCCCCCACCTCAAGAGTAGGAGTGGCCGTGGATTTTAGAAAAAACAATCACATAGACACAGAGACACACAAGTAGAGAAAAGGGATGTGTCTGACAGAGAACGCCATGGCTCCTCTTTGATTTCATGAGATAGAAAACACACCAATGATTTGATGTGTAGGGTCACTTATTCACTTATCCTGCAAAATGTAATAAATGATACTCATTCTTCTTGATTACCAAAATAGACTAAAAATGACCTATTTCTAAAATTGGAATATCTACTCATAAAATAGGTATGAAGGCAATACTTTACTCAATGATTCAACATTAAGAAGGTGAGTTGCTATTCCCTATCTACAGTGATCAGAACAAGAGAATATTACTTTTTAAAACTATCCTAGATAGTATATATCCCCGAGGAGTCCATGAAACAGCACAAGAAGCCAGAAAACACATGTCCAGGCTCATAATTGTCCTTATACTCACAGGTCATTTAGGTTCCAGTTCTGTCCTCCATGTGCCTGACTAGCTTTCTTTTCAACTCTCAATCCGGAGCTGATATTTCAAATTTCCATAATAGTTCAAGAGCTCTTAAGCACTTGGGATCACTTTTCTTAAGGTAAAAATGATACCTAATTATAGAGACATGGATAGATATAAAAAAATCCATATATATCACCTACTCATATAAAATTAAGGGGCATAAGAAAGTTATCATTGATGAATTTAGCCCATCTTATCAGGACTCCATAAAAAATAAAAAAAGAAATTTGTGCAGCATAACTTAATTAACTATATTTTGACAAAGAAAGCATCCCACAGTTATAAAATTATTTCTGATACATTTAAAAATATTATGATCATTTTTCCATGTGTCATTTTCTACTTCTCAAGATACATAATAAAATACTCTTCAACATCTAATATTTAGAATGTTATCTAAAATTATCTCTTAAAGGAAAACAGAATATCTCATGGGGTTACCAGAATTTTCATTTCTTATCTAAAAATTTCAATTTTCAAACAGAAAAAATCTAAATGCTAATAATAGTGAAAATCAGACAGATATTGGTGTCCTTGTCCACATCCTACAAGTCTTTGGACCATGAATAGGTGGTGGTTTTCTTAAGGAAGACCTAGTGGTTTTATGAAAACAAAAACAGAAATCAAGTCTGTTTCCCCCACCATACCTTACATTAGAGCAGTCATCTTTAGAAATTGTAACTGATGAGATCTCCACTGCTCTCAATTCTCTGCAGCAGCCTTATTTAAAACAATTAAAGAGAAGGAAGTGGGAGGTGCTGACTGAAGCAGTGGTTACTTGTGCAAAGCACTCTCTTGGACAATTTAACTGCAGGAAGATAATAGTTTTTGTATCCATTTTCAACTCTAATCAGAAAAAAGGAAAAAGAAAAAGAAAAAGAAAAGGAAAGAAAAGAAAAGAAAAGAAACCCATGGAATTCCCTCAGTGAAAGTGAGCCATAGAGTCCCTGCAGGTAAGAGCAAAGTTGATCCACTGGGCATTAGAAGCTAATCAGAAAATTATTCCACTTGTACACAAGTGTAAAGTTAGGACCACACTGAGTGTCACTGGGTTCACTATGAAGGAAACTTGATAAACCATCCTTAAGAAGTTTTTATTGACAAATGATTATCCTTGGTCTTCTTACATTCTAATCACCTCCCACTCTTATAAAGCCTCAAAGAGTCATCAAAAACAACATAATATTAATAGCTGTGTTTTATGAGGACCTAGCCTTATTACCATTACAATTTCAAATTTTATTTATTGTACATGACAATTGTGCAGACATAAAACTATATTTCCATGAACTGACCCCATGTATCATTAGACATAGGATAGATGTACACAAAGATGGCATCCATAGCAACAAATAATGGAGAAAAGATTTGAGGCCTGTAGGTTGAATCCTCCTGGATCATGTGACCTCTCATCTAATTGGTTGTTGCTGGGCTATAACCTCATGTATAAGTCTAGACCAGAGTGTATAAATTTGCCTAGACTCAGGAGATAATTGGGTATAGGAAGCAGTCAGAGCTCACTAGACCACTCTCCTCTACCTACACTAGCTTACATTCAGAATTTGCTGAAAAAATACATGCTAAATTAGCATTATAAAAAAAAAAAGAACTAGAGTTGAGCTCATAGAAGTAGAGAGTAAAATGGTTGTTACCAGAGGTTGAAGGCGTGGTGGAATGAGACAAAATAAAGGGAAAGGAAAGAATTGGAGTGTAAAGAATCAGTTAGAAAGAAAAAATAAATACTAATGATTATAGTAAGGAACAGTGTGATATGTATATTTCAAAATTTCTAAAATAATAGATAATAAAAGCTGTCACCACAAAGAATTAAGTTGCGTGATTTAATAATGTGCAATGTATGAATGTGCAACATAACATGACGTGGTACTTCATAAACAATTACAAGTCAATTAAGCATTTTTAGTTAAAATTAGGATGCCTGAAAGATATTTTCAAGAAATAGGCATCAGAAAAAAAGTACAAACCTATAAGCAAGGCCCATTTAGTGATATCTTTATGCCTCATTAAAATATCAGAATAGCAGAAAGTATTACAAGAGATACACGCTGAAGCGTTAAAAAGAAAATTGGGAAATGTGATAAAGTTTTATTAACTCGGTCCCCCTAAAATAAGAAACTAATTTTAAGATGGAAATCATTGAATATTTTCCAGAGGAAAAAAATAGACCAGCAGTTGGTATAATGGCTATGTCACTGGACTCCTATGTGGGTGACAGTGGTTCAAGTCCTGGACCCGGTGGCTTAAACACACACCAGATGTGTGTGCATGCCCAAGATCCTTAGAGGAGAATGGAAGAGAAGGGATTGTGGTGTGGCTATTCCCCCCCGGGGTGGGGGGGGATGATTTCTCGCTTTCTGTCTCTCTATCTCTCTGTCTTTCTGGCAAGCACAGTCACCCTATAGCAAAAACTTCTCAAAAAAAAAAAAAAAAAGAAATCATCAAACATTTTCAGGTGGTTTATAATTACTAAAGCAATACATATTCTATATTTGGGAATTTTGATAATCTTGTCATTGTATCAATCAAAATAAATATAAAAATGCAAACATAGAATTTATACCTCTGCTTATTATAAAAATTATTGTAAAATATTCGACATAAAGAGAATTTATTAGAGCAATTGTTTCCTCAAATCATTACATATTAAATGAGTTTATTTCTAAACTAATCTCTTTACCTTGTGTCTTGTTATTTTCCACTAAAACTGATAGAAATAGTTGCACTATGCAGGGGTTCAGACCTGAAATTGCATTTTGTTATGCTACAATATTCCTAAATTTTTAAATAATTAAACACCATGCTGCATGCAATGTACTTGATAAAAATAATGTACAGAATTTTACATATGGACAGCTATTATGATGGTCTGTTCTGTAATAACAGTTTCCATATTTCTTTCCAAGATTCACTATTTTTTCAAATAGTATTACATTGGACTTTTTATTTTTTTCTAACCTTTATTACTAAATAAAGCATTTTCTCTAAAGAGCATGTTCTAATAAGAAGTAGTTTTATTTTCATTTACCTACTGTAATTACTGAGTGCAGCAGAGAATCATAAAGATTATTACTTTGGGGACCAGCATTTAGTGTAATGGCCATGTCATAACTGGGCCTGGTGGCTTAAACTCACACCGGGAATGTGTGTGTGCATCCCACGATCCTGAGAGGAGAATGGAAGAGAAGGGATTGCGGCATGGCCATCCACCCTCGGGGGTGATTTCTCGATTTCTGTCTCTCTGTCTCTCTCTTTCTGGTGAGTGCATGCAAAAACCTCTCAAAAAAAAGAAAAGAAAAGATTAAAAGATTACTAAATTGAAGGTCAGCGGGTAGGCCAGACTCATTCATGCAACTAACTGTATATGTCAGTCTGAGAGCCAATATTTAGTAAATATTTCTCACATTTCTCTGTAAAATTATCAGTTACTACCTGTAAGTATGGAAGTCCCAAGTAAAGCAGTTAATTTAAAAAGCAAAATACTCAGTTAAAATATAACCCCAAACAGGGTTCTTTCATACAGAGTTCCTGCCTCATCAATCCACTAGCCCTCTGATGAAATGGCAGAATGGTGGCTCATCTCTGCAGAGTTGTACTGGTTTTGTTGTCAGGGGAAGACTAAGAAAAAAATGTTTGGAAAGTTATTTGTCAACATTTTTTTTCTTCCATAGTCTTCTCAAGGCATTTGTTACCTCTTTGTTCCTCAGGCTATAAATAAAAGGATTCAGTAGGGGAATTATAATTGTGTAGAACAGTGAAGACATCTTGTCCTGATCTGCAGCTTGGCCAGACGCAGAGAACACAAATGTGAAGAAGATGGTGCCGTAGAACAAGGAGACAGAGAGCAGATGGCCACTGCACGTGGAGAAGGCTTTGCGTCTGCCCTTCTCAGACTTCTTTTTCAGGATGGCAAAGAGGACAAAGGTATAAGAGATGATGATGCCCATAAAAGTGAAACATTGTATAAAGGTTGAAAATACAAAAATCAGGAGCATATTAACTGTAGGGTCAGTACAGGAAATCTTAAACAGCTGTAAAATTTCACAATAGAAATAATGTATTACATTGGACTTGCAGAAAGTTAGTCTAACTGAGAAACACATATGAACTGTTAAATGGAGAAAACCCATAATATATGAGACAGTGATAAGCTGAGTGGTGAGTCTGTTGGACATCACCACTGGATAAAGCAAGGGGTTACAGATGGCCACATAGCGATCGTACGCCATCATTACCAAGAGGAAACACTCCGTTGTTGCACTAGAACCAAAAAAATAAAATTGGACTAGACACTCAAAGAGTGAAATCAAATGATTCTTTGACAAAAAATTAATCAGCATCTTGGGGGTCACAGAGGAGGAAGTGCACGCATCTGCAAAGGCTAAACTGCCCAGGAGTGAGTACATGGGGGTGTGAAGGTGGGCGTCCTTCCAGATGAGAGCAATCAGGCCAAGGTTGCCCGCCATGGTGATGAGGTAGATGACTGAGAACAGCAGGAACAGGGGCACCTGCAGCCCTGGACGATCTGTGAGTCCCGTGAGGATGAACTCGGTCACCAGAGTTTTGTTTGTCTCCATCATTGCCATACAGGGTGATCACTGCAATGTGAGAGAAGTAAAGAGCACAGCCATGAATGATCTTGAAAAAAAATCTTTGTTTTTTCTCTGTCCTCTTGATTCAGAATATTTACCTTTAACCCTCAAATTTTACCTTCCCTACCAGTAAGTACTTAGGAAACATGTCCTACAAATTGTAAGTTGACATTCACATCTATATGTAATTGTTCAATGTTTATATAAGCAATGTGGGCTCATTTTCTAATTTGAAAAATTTGACTGCCATTTACTAATCATCTTCTAAGTCAAGCATGAGAACATAATCAGTAGTTACTAAACTGCAGTGTTTGAAGCCACATGGTCAACCGTGAGTTCCAATTATTGGCACAGTGGACCTGAAGCTTGCTGGGTACTGGTTTGTGCACAAGATCCTAATGAGCTGAAAAGTTAGGGAAAGGAATTAGAGGGATGACTAGACCCTTTTGAGGGTGGTTCTCTCTCTTTCTCTGTGCACACATATCCTCCATCAGGAATAAAGTCAGCTTAAAAAGAATGATCTTCTAATTTAAAACTCATTGACGACGCAAATAGAATAAGCCATTTAATTTGTTATTTAATACATTATTCACAAAACATAACGATGAAAACTAATACCACACATTCTAAGAAAAACATCTTCCTTCAAATTAAGAACAGATTGAAATGTCCACTCATAATAGTTTTATGTAGACCTGTTATCTTGGGTACTCTAATACATAAAGATGCAAAAATAAAATGAGGGCTGACAAGTGACAGCATGGTTGGGGTGCTGTCTTCCCACATGCCTCACCACAGTCTGAGTCCAAGAGACGGGAGTCTGCTCTCTCTCTATGACTCTCCTTGATTGAATTTAAGAATAATAGTAATTAATAAATTAAATAGATAGTTCTTATAAAAATAAACAATAGCAAAGATATAGTGAAATATCATAACAACTATAGATTAATTCATATATTTTACTCATGTTATATGATTACAGTTAAACAAATGACATGATGATGTTAATAATTACTGGATGCAGGTTGTATATTTATATATATATAATCACTGTAGTTTTCTGTCCCAAAAATGATAAACAAGAAACAGCTATTTTAACTAAAATAGCCATAGCACTTTAAAATTTATCAAAGTATTTTTTTTAAATATGTAACACATATGGGAAGAAAATTACCAAAACGTGTAGTCCATTATACAATTTCTGAAGAAATACTCAAAATGTATTTTTGAATAAGAACACAATATTATAAATGTATCAGTACAATTAAAATTAACTTCTATTAGAAACTTAATCATTCTTTAATGTGGTATTGTTGTAGCCAGGGTCTGCCTAAACAAACTGATTCCATTTTGTTAAAAACTGTTTCTCTTTCAGCCTGATACTCTTAAGATGTCTCTCGGGAACTCTGAGGAGATGATTGACCAACCTGGAGCTGAAGCAGTAAGGAAAGTTCTGCCCCAGCCACAAACTAAAACTCCTGTCATGAAGATGAATCTTTTCATTGTACCCCTTAGCTAAGACTGAAACTCCTGTCTCCAAGACAGTTACTCATTAGTGACTCCTTAGCTAAAAATTGACTTCATCCATGCTTTTCTATAGACAGCTGTTAGCCCCATAACATACCCCTTTCCCTTTTCATGGTGGCAAAAGGCTAGAAGGAATATAAGAACATATGAAGATGAAACAACATTTGAAAAAATTCTAACAAAACCACACTAATCAATATTATGGCAGTGGTATAAAAATACGTTACTTCTCTACCAGTTGAATCAGGAAAATTTCCGTACTTGTTAGCAAAGAATAAAACATGTAATAGAGAAACGTGTTTTGATCACATTAAACAGACAACAAATTCTTAAAATTCTCAGTCTATGTGTATCTATGAACACACACAATGCAAACTTTAATGAAAAACTAGCAATTAGTCATATGTTAATATTCATATAAAGCTTATCTTATGATCTGAGCTTTTATAGTTTATATAACATATTCTTTTGAATATACTCAGTTATATCTGATTTTAATCATGAAGAGTGACTTTTTCCTTTTGTTTTGCAATGATCAAGATGTATGGTATAAATGAATAAAGTTAAGTAAACAAGTACATTAGGTTTTAATTATTTTCTTCATATTCAAGTACTCAGCTATCTTTGTGTTTGGATTTTTTTACATACTATATAATTTTGTCAATAATATACATGGAATATTTGAAATTTTTGAATAATTTGAGTTTATTGTATAAAATATAAACTTTCTCAACATGAAAATTCAAAAGAAAAGATCCCAAGAGAGTTGGAAGCATATGTAGAACCTCTTTACCCAGAAGGAGAAAATATACCTGCAATTTGATGTGCAAGTTCAGCTTATTTTCTCTCTCTTTTATCTTTCTTGGAACAGTTGGTTTTTTTTTGTTTGTTTTTCTTTAATTCATCAGTGTATATCATTATAACTTGAAAAATGAATTTACCTGGCATGAATACATTGTATATCAGCCCAGCTAAAGATATAGTCTTACACATTATTATCAACAGATAGTTTTCCCTTTTTGTATACCTTAAATGATTTGCTTCTTT